GAGAATAGCTAAATGAGCGCCACTCCATGTCTTTGGAGAAATTGTATGCCCCATCAATATTAGAGGTTATATATTTGAGCAAGAAATGCTTATTGCTAAAAACTTAACCCATCCAGTAATTTTAGGCTACGACATCATGAGCCGGTTTAACATCAGATTAGGCTGTGGGAATCATTGAGATACATTCGAAGGTATATTTGATATAGATATGATCAGCAAATCTATCAACAATAAATTTACTATAGGAATAATTATGGATGATTCGTTAATCCGCCGTAAAACACAAACTAATGAACTTTCTGAAACTTTGTTAAAATATAACTCGCTTATTGACCAACCCATGAATGTCAAGCCCAATAGTAAAACAAGATGAGACAATCAAACACCAAATTCCTTTAAGCTGCTTACACCAGATAAAGTTATAGTGTCCCAACCATTGCCCAATGACAGCTGCTAATATTCTACAGCCCCTGAGTGCTGTCTTGATAAAACAAATAAAATACAACAAAGTTTGCCGGAAAATGAAACAGACGATGCAGATATATTTAAAATGGAAGAAATAGTAGGAAAAAGGCAAAGGAAAGGTAAAACTCAATACCTAGTTAAATGGAAGGATTATCCTTCAACTTAAAATACGTGGGAACCAGAGGAAAACATCTTTGATAAACAAGTTGTACAAAAATATTTAGAGAAAACACAAAAAAGCTTGCATGTTTCCACAATATCAATGGTATTTCCGACTAGACAACAAGGTAAAAAGCTGACCAGAAATAAACTTTTACAGATTGCCCATATAAACAAATTATGGAATATAGTGATTCCTATTATTCTCTCATGTTTACTCGTCTTACCTCCATTTACCACAAGAATATTTATAAGTAAAGTATATGATTGTACAAAGGGGAGACCTATTGGAATTTTTCAATTACCTGAAGTTACATCATGTAATCACAATATGCACATGTTAAATGACTTCAAAGACATTTGGAAAATGAGGTTATATTACTGCCACAACAAGATCAGTCAACGCCATATATAACAAGATCAGTCAATGTCCCCTAAAGGAAAAAAACATTCCACACATGTTTACAAATTTCCAGCTTGTAAGGCTGTCCATACTGACTAGAAGATTACCTTTTAATGGTAATGGCAGGATTCTATGACCAAGATTCCTGGATGGGAATTGAGATGCCCCAACCACCACGAGTTTCCTACAGTGAAGTTATTTCCTGTAGTTTGTTCAAGGATATTGTTTTTCCTAATGCTGTTTTGCATTTTTGAGTTTTGTGTTGCTGTTTGCAATAATGCTGTTTAGCAAAGATTTTTTTACGATAATTACAATGATTTTTATTGTGCTGTGTTGCTGTTTGCAATAATGCTGTTAAGCAAAGATTTTTACAAAAAATAGGATGATTTTTTTTATAGTGCTGAGTTGCTGTTTGCAATAATGCTGTTTAGCAATGACTTTAAGATAATTACGATGAACTTTTATAGTGCTATTTGGAACAATGAGTTTTATGTTTCCAATGAGACTGTTTAGCAAATGATTTTTATAATGATTCCAATGACTTTTTTTTTATTGTTTTTCAAATATTTATTGATTCTGCTGATTATTCAAGATATTGATGTTTTGCAGATACTTATTGATTCTACTATTTATTCAAGATTGTTTGCAGAGATTTTACAAGTTCTACTGTTTTGATGGTGCTTTTAAGTTCGAGGACAGACTTTTTCTGTTTTGGTAGGTAATGTTACGAAGGTTTCAAACAAAACTACTCAAGCAGAAGACGAAACCCTAACAAAGCGTGTGGTGTTTGGCGGAAACGTTGTTTGTAAACTAACCTGTTTAGCGCCTAGCGCCTGTTCAAGATATAAAAACAGGAAGAAGACCAAACACAGAGAGCAAGAGCGATATAAAGATAGTAAAGAGAGAGTGGTGATAAAAGTCAGGATCGAAGTGGATGAAAATGGTTAGTCGGAAGTGTTAGTAATTATAAGAGGCGATAAAAAGACTATTATTTACAAGACAAACAGGTAGAGAATAGTAAAGATTGTATTTGTATATGTCAATTAGTTATATAGTATACCTAAAATAAAGTTAATGTCTAATATTTGGAGCATTCTATTGCATAACATTTGGATATAATTATGTAACTTTTTATATAAATTTTCTGAATAATATTATTAATTAATGTTAGCGCGAGTAATCATCATTATTACCGCGTAACAACATAATATAATAAAAGCAATAAATTGTATTATATATATAATACAAAGTAATACATTGTATTGTATATATAATACAAAGCAATACATTGTATTGTATATAATATAATACAAAGCAATACACTGTATTATATATAATGTAATAAAAAGCAATACATTGTATTATATATAATGTAATAAAAAGCAATACATTGTATTATATATAATGTAATAAAAAGCAATACATTGTATTATATATAATATAATAAAAAGCAATACATTGTATATATATATATATATATATATATATATATATATATATATATATATATATATATATATATATATATATATATATATATATATATATATATATATATATATATATATATATATATATATAGTGAAAACAGCAATACATTGTATTATATATAACATAATACAAAATAATGCAAGCTTTGTGAGTAGTTCTTAACATTAGCAAAAGTTATGCACATTTGACTTAGAAGATTTTTTTGCAGTATTTTTTTATTGTAAATTTTATTTATCATTTAATGTAAGTTATTAGATGATAAAATCAGTTGCAGTTTGAGAATATTTTAGGATTTAAATTTTTTTTACCTTTTCATGAATGACTTTCAGGTCTTCATCAGAAATATTTGAAACCTTAAAAAACATTAAAATTATAAAAATTCAAAAAAAAATTTAATTTTCGAAAGTAATTCAATTTTTTGCTGTCGCCTAAAATCATATGATAGTAATAAATTTATAAATATTTTAAATTTGTAATCTATTTAAAGTTTGTGAAAAATTGTAAAAATTTGTACAAATATTTGAGTTAAAAAGATGCTTGAAACTTTCAAAACTACCTGGAATCGTTCTCTTATGTTCCCAATAAGACATTGTAGTTCAACTTTCCTTTCATCAGATAATCCACTAGGGAGAAGTTCAGTTAATGCATCATGTTTTTTTCTACGAATTTTTTCTAACCACTTACGTACCTAAACAAAACATATTTTAAGTTGTAAATTAAACAATTATATATATATAAATTATATTTCTTTTTATATCTATATATAAGTATAAACTTTTAAATTAAATTTGGTGAAAATACCGTTCTCTGAATTAAAATAGCAGCCTTGGTTCTGATTAAGTGTGGAACTTGTGAATTTAATATTGTTCTAGTCTTATAGCCAACCCAAACAGCTTGAATTTTTTTAGCCGCCTCATTTTGTAGACTATAAAAAAAATCATCAACTGTTCCAGCTGGTATGCCTTCAATGGCCTTAAATAAAATAAAATGTTAGTTTAAAATGTTGAAATATAAGAGTTTTATTTAACACTTTTAATCTTTACATTTGTTTTATGTTAAAATTTTATTGAATTTTATCAAATTGAATTTATAAAATTTTATAAAAAGAATAAATAGATATAATTAAATAAATTATAATAGATTAAAAAAAATAGATTAAATAGATTTTGTTTTGTTATGCAGTAAATCAAATTAAGTAGCAGGTATTAATGCAAATTAAGGAAAGTGTTATATCATCCAAATTAAAAAGAATTTTACTAAAATATCTTGTCATTTTACAAAATATTCATAAAGTTCAAATTTTTTGCATTTAGTTAACTGTAAATGTTTAATTTAGTTTAATTTAATAATAATATATAAACAATTTTTTGCATTAATAATGTTTCTAAGGATAAGCTTTTTTAAGAATCCTAAGAATTTTAAGGTCAGGTCTACATTATTATACTGCTTTGCTCTAAATAAAAAATCAAAATTTTCCCTGCCCATGTGACACAATACTTTGTTAAGTTGTATTCCATATTATGCTGCTTCTTTTTTTATTTATTTTTATCATGTACCTGGAGACTTACATGTACCCGGTCTCTGCTTCAGTCATGGGTCTAAGTGTTGGGCTTTATTCTCTTTAGTAAGAAAGTTTAAGGTTAATAAATGTAATAAACAAGAAAACAAGGGAGCAAACATTCAAGGTTAAAAACAAAATTTAAAAAAGCAACCAAACGCAAAAAAATTGCAACCATGATACAACACAACGCACACAAGCAACAAAATTGCATTATGATATTGTCACATATCAACAGCAACAACAATGTAATATGTTTTCAATTATACTAAACCTTTTTTTAACCATTTATTTTTTGATTTTTTTAAAAATACAATTATACATATAAATATAATTTTTTTAAAATATATCACTTCAAACAATTCACATAAAAAAACTGTCACAAAAAGGATGCAACATTAAAAAATATATAATTTACCTGCAAAGTTTTTTGTCTAGAGTCAAAAAATAATTGCCGTTTTTTTAAAGTTTCGTAATGTATTTTCTCTTTTTCTAATCTTTGGTCCAATTTTTTCTGTTCCTGGTCTTTTTTTTTTTCCAGATATGTCTTTTTAAGTAAAGTGATTGACCTGTGTGCTTTTTTAATTTGCTTTCTACAAATATACCCTCTGTAAACAGACTGTATTTTTGTTGCAAAAAAGTCCATTTTCTAAAAAATTAATTAAAATGATTTTCGAAGAATTTGAATAATATTTTTTAAACTATAATTATTTTTTTAAACTATAATTATTAAAATTGTAATTAAAACATTAACTAAACATTTCTAAAGTCTAAAAAAAAGGTAAAGAAAAAAAAAGAAAAAGAAAAAATTATACATTTGAGCAAAATTGTTGTTGTTCAAATGAATCCAAAACTTTAACTAGCTTTTCAATATCACCATCAAAACCTTTTCCTTTCCACTTAAACAGACATTTTTTGAAGCTTCTAAAACATTACAATATATACACTAGGATGTGTCAGATTTTGATCAAAACTTAAAAAATCAGAATTTTCATTGGTATTATTAAAAAAAGGTTGAGGTCTAACATATCGAATTCAGAACTATCAAAAAAATTAAATTTTAATCAGTTTAAATTACCAGGAAACTGCCTTAAAAATTGCAAAAAAGTTGATTTTTTCATATCTTCATATTTGCATGGTCAATTTAAACATTTTCAGACTTAAATCAGCTTTACAACAAACTTGATTTTAAGAGCTTTACAGCAAACTTTTCCCAAGTTGATTGGAACTCTTAGTTCTTATCAACTTCACAAGTTAATTGGAACTCTTAGTTCTTATCAACTTCACAAGTTGATTGGAACTCTTAGTTCTTATCAACTTCACAAGTTGATTGGAACTCTTAGTTCTTATCAACTTCGGCCTGCTGATTTGATGGAGTCAAAAGGTTAATAAAGGTAGAAAGTTACAAACGAAAAAGAATAGAAAAAAAACTAATTAGAGAAAAAAGCACACCACTTAAAACAAAACTAAAGCTCATAATAAACAAAATAGCAAACATGGAATTTTGAAGAGTTCAATTTTGATGAAAGTGAGATTTTTTTCAAAACTAAGGTACAAAATATTTAGAAACTATGAAGATATCTCTAATACTGCATTAGTCAGTATTAGATATGGTGTTGGTTTAAGAGCAACTGCAGCAAAAGCTACTGCAGCATGGGTAGATGGAGGACTTGTATCCAAAATTGACATTAGATTAATAATTGATCACAGTAAAGTTAGAAAGTTAAATAAAATTAGAAGTGCTAGGAATAAAGTTATGAATGAAGTTGCTAATCAGTTTAATAATAACTGCGATAAAGAGATTATAGACTGTATATTTTTTGCTGGACGGGAAGATCTGACTAAAATATTTTTAACTGTAATGGATCAGACAGACAGTACTCTGCTAAAGATAAAGAAAAACATTACTCTGTTTGTTCTGGTGATGGGAAGTATTTATTTCATTTCACACCAGCCAAAGAAGAAGAAAAGAATAATGCAAAAATTAGAGCAGATAAAATCTTTGAGTATACTGAAATATGAAAAATTAGCATACATATAACAGCAATTGGTGGAGACTCTACCAATGTAAACACTGATTGGGAAGAAGGATTAATGCACTTAATAGAGCTAAAATTAGGGCGAAAGTGAAATTAGATTCTCTGTACTCTACACACCAATGAGTTACCATTAAAACATCTGATTAAATTGTTAGATGGAGAATCTAAAAGCGGTAGAAAAATGGAGTGTACCTATTAGAAGCTTACTTGACGAAGCAACCAATCTTGAAACCTTTTTTTTTACTAAGATTGAAATTGGTGAGTCTCTTATTAACTTGAGTAATGATGTAGTAAAAGACCTTTCTACTGATCAGTAGTATGGCTATCAAATAGTGAAAGCTATACGAAGTGGTCATGTTCCTCAGCAACTAGAACTTCTTGAAATTGGCCCTTTTACATAGCAAGATGGCTAACAGCCAATAGAATCTGTAGAATTCGGGTATCTCATAGTAGTTAGTCTTCAAGACAATGTTGCTCAATTTTGAAAACTGTAGAATATATTGTATGAGTGTATTTTCCTGTCTGGTTTAACTTCTAAGTTAAGCAGAGTTGGACAGGCTTAAGTTGCTTCAACACCAGTCACTAAATGTTCAGAGTATAGTCACTCCAACTATTAAGCGATCTGTTTGGTATGCCTTTTCTGAGTCTATTCTTTAAATGATGCTTTGTTCTGAGAACAAAGAAATAATAAGTTTCAGTGTAAATAACATTCTTGAATTAAGAGAAGGTGATGAAAATGTACAACTAGGAGACCTATCTGTTAGACCAAGAAAGACACCAGATATCAACACTAAAGCAATTTTTCTTAAAGATCTTATTGATTGGAATGAAGCTTTTTAACCAACATTAACTTGTTGCATGACAACTACAGATATCAAAGTATTTTTTTAAACCAATGATTGTACCAAACCGGTGTTTCCACACTCAAGCAGTCAAAAGATGTGTAAAAAAAGTCACCCAGGCATGTTAAAATGTTTTCACAGAAGATTTTTTTTTATTTATTTGCATTCACTCCCAACAAGGCTGCAAGCAGCCACTATTAATTTTGGGAGTTACTAGGAAAAAAAAGAACAGAGTTATAGAGCAAGGAAACGGTTGACAGAAGACTTGAAAAGTTGAAGGTTGTATGAGTCAGGAAAACATGAAGATGGGAGAGAGTTCCAAAGGATTGAAGTTCGGGGAAAAAAACTAGATGAATAAAAGTTTTTAGAGCTTGCAGGGACAGATACAGTAAACGAATGAGACTTAGCTGAATGACAAGTAAAACGAGAATGAATTTTAGTTGATGGAACTAGAGTTGATAACTCCTTTGAGCAGTGACCATGATAGTATTTGTAGAAAAAAGAAAGAGATGCAACTTTACGACAATGGGAAAGAGGTTCAAGCTTAGCAGATAGTCCAACGTTTACAATGCGTTTTTGGACCTCGTCAAGAAGAGAAAAATAATCGTTGGAAGAACCAGCCCAAATATGACAACAGTATTCCATACAGGGACGAATAAGAGATTTGTAGAGGTAGAGAATGGAATCAGAAGTAAGGAAATGGCGAGCACGATAAAGAGAAGCAACCTTAGCAGAAGCTAATTTAGCAATCGATTGTAGTAAGCGATAATCCAAGAAGACGTAAAGAGGAGGACTCAGTAAGAGGATTGCCATTCATTAATATAGGAATGTTGACCATATTACGGTAGTTGTTTGCAGTAAACAACTGGGTTTTGTTAGAGCTGAAATTCACAAGCCACTGTGAACCCCAATCTATTACTGAAGTGAGATCGGATTCAAGATCAGCTGCTTGTTCTAGGCGATCGAAAAGAGAAGACTTTTTGTTAAGACAGGAGTATAAAGTTGAGTCTCAGCAAAAAGAGCTACTTTAGATGAAAGGTTGTCAGGAAGATCGTTTATGTAGATAAGAAACAAAACAGGGCCCAGGATGAAACCTTGGGGAACCCCAGAAGTTACTGGAAAAAAAAGAAGAGTGTTGGCCTTCAAGGATGACTTTAATGAACCGGTTAGAAAGAAATGATTTGATAATCTCAAAAACTCTCCCAGAAACACCATATGAAACAAGCTTATGGAGAAGACCAGCATGCCAAACTTTGTCGAAAGCTTTAGATATGTCGAGAGCAATAGCCCTAGCCTCACCGCCTCCATCTAATGCACGATAAAATCTTTCAGTTACAGCAGTTAGCAAGTCGGCCGTAGAGCGAGAGGATCGAAAACCGTATTGATTGTCTGACAGTAGTTTATTTGACTCAAGATGAGATGTGAGAAATTTGTTGATCAAAAACTCAAAGACCTTGCTAATAACAGAAAGAAGACTGATCGGACAATAATTGTCAAATAAATTGTCAAATTGACAATAAAGCAGGAAAACAAGACTCAGTCACACTTGTTAAATAGTTTAGAGAGAATTGAAGAAAGTTCTGGAGAACAATTCTGCAAGACTGTGACAGGAATATTGTCTGGACCACAAGCTGTAGACGAGTTTAATTGAGATATGATTTTAGCAACAGAAGCCGGAGTGATTTGAATGTCTAACAATGGGTCAACCTGTTTGACTGGAATGGAAGGAAGAGAATGTCCATAAGATTCAAGAGTGGTAGTTTGAAGAAAAGTTCTTTGCAAATAGTTCTGCCTCATTCTTGGGAGAGGTAATAAGATCAGTCCCATGAATGAGAGATAGAATTAGATTATAATTATAGTTAGATCTACCCTTGTTAATAATGCTGTTGAAGATTTTCCAAAAGTCTTTAGAGCTTAACTTATGCGATAAGATGCGAGATTTAGTGAACTGAGAATAATGGAGTTTAGCATCAGAAAGCACCTTTTTACATTGATTTCTTGCATTAATAAATAGCCGTTTGTTCTCAAGAGAGTTGTTCTTTTGAAAAAGATGAAAAAAATGATTACGATTGGATATAGCAGAAGAAGGAGAAAACCATGGAGAAGAATGAGGCTTGACTTGAAACCGACGCGAAGGAATAAAAGCTTCCATTCCAGCCTGAATCCAGGAGGTTACGTAGGAGGCGCATTTGTCAGCTGAGAGAGAAAAACATCAGCCCAAGGACCATCACGAAGAAAATCACAAAAGGAATCCCAGTCAGCTTTAGGGTAGTAGTAGGTGGTGCGATGATAAGGTGAGACCAAAAAAGAAGTACGAGAAGAAAGATTTATAGAGATCATTGCATGGTCAGAACCACCTAAGGGAGAAAAGGGAGAAACTGAACATAAGCTAGGGTCAGAGACAAGACATAAGTCAAGGAGTGAAGGTAAATGATTAGGGTTGTCAGGAAAACGAGTCACAAAGTTAACTATCATATTGGCAGAGGGGTAAAGAGAGAGGGCATGGTCAATTTGATCAGAGATAACATCTAAAAGAGTGCAATCATGGGAAGAAGGAGAACAATAAAGAACAAAGAGAAAGGTGATAGAGTGAAGAGGTGCTAGGCGAAAGCACATAAAAGAATGGTCAAAGGATTCGAACCTGATTTCACGACAAATAATGGAATTAATGCGTATGTATACCCCTAAACCTAGCATGTGACTGGAGTCTTTACGAATCAAAGGATAGTTCCCATTAACACTGACATCTGAAGAAGGAATTGCAGAATTTAAATTTGTTTCACTGAGTGCACAGTGAAACAAATTTAACACAGGGTTCATCTACGCCAGCCTAATAGATGAAGAAGGGGTTCGAGGCTGGTTAGCAGAATTTTTCTGCTTACCCCTAAAGTCTTTGCCTAGGAGGCCTTCTACAAGACAGTAGCTGGATGCAGTTAACATCTGCCCAAGATGAGTATTTTTATCGAGACACCATCTCTAGCCTTTACTCAACCAAGAGCCTCAAGGCAGGGGAATTTTTAGTCTGAGTTTATTTCTCCTAGCC